GACGGCATACGAGATCAGGAAAGGTTAGTAAGGGTTCGGAAGGTTGTAGCGGTCTAAGCAGTAGTTGTACTCGGATCACTAAAATCATCAGGTCGAATGCCACGTTGGAAGTAAATGGCAGAAGTCACCAGAAGGAGGAATTTGTTGTGTACAGAACCCTGAGTTGCTGTCTCAGGCAGTAGTCGCCATTGATGTTGACTGCGTCCTGTCGTGCCCGAGGGGGTGTGTGATGTGCTGTGCGAGAGGTGATGATGACAGTTGCGTTTACACGTCTGCGAAACGAATTTGCTATTGGTGTGTTGCAATTGCCCGAGGGGGGTGTGGAGTACTGATAATCACGCTGCGTCGGTTGACGTGGCCTTTAGGAAACTGCGACTAGTTGGGCACGCGTGTGTGGGAGTGATTTCAATTAAGCGTTTTAAGGTCAGTGAGGGGGATCGGGCGCCTGTGACGATACATGACGTTGGGGCAGCGAGCCCTGGAGAACGATGGAGGGACAGGCATTGTGGCCGTTCGCCATAAGGTCAACTTTATTCAGTGAGACCACATTTGTTTGATGTTCCTCCTAAAAATCACCGGTAAGTGCTATGCGATCGCCAGCGACTTTGATCCTCTATTGATCAAACACTCCATTGGGCGGGTTCGTTTACATCTCGTTAGAGAATTCGGATTAAACAAAGGTTTATTCAAGAAGATGGGGGTAGCAGCTCGGATCCCGGCTGGTTCGTAGCATCACACACTCGATCATACACCACCTGATCACGGCCTACATTTGACCAGAAACGGCACAAGTAATAACAAGGTCGCACACAAATTACTAATTAATTGCTAACTGGCCATGGTACAGTTTATTTGCATGGAGTACTTTAAACACACCAAACTGCTTCTCGACGAACTGTCGTGTACGTACAACAGCATACTCCAATGACCCCACAAAAGAAAATAAATTTCTACATTTCTGCAAAAAATTTCCGGCTCTTAATACAACAAAGTGGTTCCAAAACACGTTCTGAAACAGTTCATCCGGTATAGAGGACAAAAGCACGGGGGTTTGCAAAGTCCTGGCGGCATCCACATCGCCTCCCACGAAGTGGGACAGGTTCTGTATGCCAAAGGCTCCAGCTGCTCTTCTGAGACTGCTGAGCTGTCTCCTCCTGTTTCAGGCCAAAGACTGGGATAAGTAAAGAGGAGACAGAAGCGGAAATGAGGATTTGTTTGACGTTCCAAATGTGCGTTCATTCAGTATTTCATGATAATATCGGTGGGGGCTCGGTAAGGAAATCAACTCACAGGGCCGAGCTACAGCCCATGAAAGTGACTAAAGTAGGCGAGGTCTGAGAAATAGGCCAAGCCAAAAACGAGCATAAGAGTCTAAGGTCTCGTGGTCGGAAGTTCAAGCCCAAGCAAGCTAGAGGAGGGAGAAGGTGTAGCCAAGACTGACAAGGTTTTTTTCTAAAAACCATACTCAAGTCATCAAAACCGCAAACCATAACAGCCTTGCGTCCCAGAACAAGATGATATGTGAAAACGAAAGTGAAAAGAGAGGACGAGGCGAAGGAATCGGGTTATGGGAGGACTTTGACTTTTGACTTTCTCTTCCGTTCCCATAATGATAATTATATTCCCACCAGTTCTGCCTAATAAAGGGAGAGTACATAAAATTCCGTAATTATCGCCTTCCCTCAGTTCAACATACCAGCTATCTAAATGAGCATTCAAATACTCATCGCTGCCTCAGTATCAGCCTTCTTGTTATTCTTGCCTTCCGGAAAAAAGTATGGCAAGTTAATTATCTTAACGGTGTTAAAGGTGTTGATTCTCATTCACACGAATTATGTGATAATAAGTCAACTCACAGGGACCTGTAGGAAAAGTTGTCTGGGCGTCCAACTGCATAGGGTTCGGTGCGTCGAAGGACAGATTCTGTACAACCCTCCTGGATAATAACTGCGACTTCGAAGACTTTGCAGTCAACAACCTTGGCGGAGCGTTTACACCAAGGAGCTTAACCAAAAATGACTAATCACAGCATCACGTAAGCCTATTAGAAAGCTCGACATTTGACCAGCAGCTCGTACCATTACGGCGGACGCACCATCGGTACACGGGGAACACGGACAGCCAATTCAGTCCGTTAACGGGGGAGGGGGGGGAAGGGGTGTCAAACCAAGGAAGACAGAGCTGGCCTATTATCCTATCTACGAACTACACGGCAATTCCCTTAGGCATAGACTAGTTGAGAAATAAGCGGACTCTTGGGCTTGATGAATAAGCAATCGAGGACTACACAGCGTCAACACTCGCCGAAGTGGTCAGCCAAGGATCCGTCTGATCATTTGTCCATTAAAAAGAATAAAATCACGGAAGCATGAAAACAAGGGGAATGTCGTCGGCCATACATTTTGTGTTTAACTCGCCGGCTGACACAATTACGAAATCTAAGAAAGGATGGGCCGGAGGGGTAGGCGACGTGCATTAGCAAAGCCAGGAAGTGCAGGGAACCAGCAGTTCATCAAGTTGTTTTACGCAACAACTGTCCAGCAAGTCACAGTTTAATCGATTTTTTTGAAGACCGGCAAGCTGTGGTCCGAACGTCCTAGGCGGATTTGTTGACGAATCACTGCGCAGCGAGGACCAATTTCCCACCCAACAAAAACAACAGTTTGTCATGGTAACCAGATAGGCAGTTGTTATCATGTCAAAATTCGTTTTTTAGGCAAAAAACAGGAAGTTGGAGTAGGCAGTATGAAGATTCTGAAAATCTTTTTTTTTCAAGTGGAGGGCGAGTTCGACTTTCCGGCCACAGATGTCAATAACAGGTCTCGGCAACCATTTCAACAAGGAAGTTGAGACTTAGTCTTGTCATCAGGTCCAGCTGGCAGCGGGAAGAGGGAATGCGACAGATGCTGCGCAAGTCTTTTATCATTAAAAATAGTTCGAGCGCCAGCTACTATCCCTCAGCCAACCATGCTGTGGGGCACACAGTGAGCACCATTGTTCGCGGTTGTCGAAATGTCATAGAGCTGAAAACTTCAAAGCCACATATGGTTCTCGAAGAACGCTACCCTTCCACCAGTCCCTAATTTAACCACACATTTAAAACTGAAGGAGAATACCTAAAACGGTCCAAAACCGGCGAAAAAGTGTTGGTATATGGAGAAAACTTAGGAGAGGCTGTGCTCCGTGTATCCATTTAATACGCAGGTCTCTTATGACTACTAACTGCTCAACGTGATTATTGTCAACCAAAGGCTCTGTCCAAACACTCTGTGATAACGAGTAGGATAGGAGCGACCGAAATCCCGACACCTCCAGCTCGCAGGTGGTTAGGGTCTTATCTATTAACTAAAGTTGGCACATCGAACCCTCTCTAACAATCAGCTACCAACTTCGAGTCCTCAGTAGACAGTGAATCCAGAAAAGCAATACATCAGAATCGGAATAGTGGCAAGCAGCTTCAATGCTGAAAATACTTCAGTTGGAAATAAATCGCGTGCGCTGATTTCTTAAAGAAAATATGCTGCCTAATACACACGGTGATCCAGTAAAGGATGATGCCCAAACAAACACTCGGAACCACGCAGCTAGATACAGTGATTCAAAAGCTCCTCAGAAAACCAAGATAAAACTACATACATTTGGATGCCCCTTTTGCAATCTGCAAAGGAATTGCGAAATCCAGGCATTTAGAATACAGCCAAACTCTCACACCCAAGTAATTCGAGATAAAGAGAGGCCAGTCTTGTGGGATAAGTACCCTCGGCGGGGCTAGATTTTCGATAAGCATCAATCGGAGTACCCTTGAGTGACGAATGCGTGCCAGGCGACCGTTTGAAAAAAATAAAATAAGCGACACAAAGACTTCAGAGGTGGCCAACGGTTTCGTAGTTATCAGCCACAATCATCAGCCTCAACTTGAGATGTTGAGGAGTTGACTGTCAGATCGCGATCTCCTCGGCACAGTCACAATTTGCCTCTTGACACGACCTTACACAATGCGGCCGGGGCGGGCAGGAGCCATTATTGAAATCAACTGGGTAGACCAAACAGGGTGAGGATGACAAAAGTAAATGGGCGTCGGTGTGGAAGAAGTTGAACAAAAGAGCGCAGGCCTCGCAGGTGAAGTTTGGAAATTATAAAGTGACATGCGTCCAGGCGCTCGGAAGAAAAGGGGGCCGGAACGAACGGTAGTCTGTTATGTCATGCAAAGACGATAACGACAAGAGACTACTCCACAGTCTTCTCTGGGTGCCTTCAAGGTGCAACTGTTTTTGGTTAATCGCCTATACCAAAACAAGCCGTTAAGTCGAGAAAATGGTTAGTTTGACATACATGCGGATGCCACTAGGAGCTGGCGATAGGCTCAGGTACTTGACGCATTCGTTCAAAATGCAACTAGATACCATGCTGTTTGCTGCAAGCACATCATCTCTCAAACTCTTGGCACGAAAAAATGTTGTGCAAGGTTCAGTTTTGTCTACGTGGGCAAGCCCTCAGAATAACACTCAAAATGAAAAGGG